GGGGCAGCGGGACCTGGTGCTCGCGGAGCGCGGTTAGGGCCCGCCTGGAGGAGCAGTCGCGGAGCTGGGGGCCTGGTCGAGATGTCTCGCCTCTGATGAGCACCTGCGACGCCGGGGACAGGCCGGTGTCCTTCCGTCTGGCGCGTGTGGCCGGGGCGCAGAGGCTCGGGGTCTGCGGCCGGCCGGTGCCCCGACTGCGGTGCTGCAGGGGTCGTCCGGTCGGGGCGGGTGTGGCTGCAGTTCCGTCCTCACCAGCGCCACGTGGGCGCCGAGCCCTGGGCTGGTGCGTCCACGAGTCTTCTCTCTACAGCCGGGAGGGTCCGGGCCCCGCTTCGTGGAGAGAGGGGTCAGCCTCCCGCAGCGGACGCCGTCCACCACACAGCCAGCGCACCAGGTTCCCCTCGGCCGCGGGACCGGGAAGCTCAGGACCAGGGTCGGCGGACTCTGGCCCCGTTGTGGGTCCTGGATGGTTTTGCCAGTTGACAGTGTTAAAGTAATTCAACAAGGAGGCCGTTAGACTGGGCTGCCTCTAATCCCTTGGTACCTGAAGCAGACTCCAGCGAGGCTTTCCCGATAAGGCGACTGCTGGAGTTACAGCCGGTCAGTTTCAGTTTCCTTGCTTTGCTTCTGCGTCTTCTCTGTAGAGGCCCCTTCCGGCTCTTGTGGGCTCAGCGCTCCCGACCACTTTCGGTTTGGTGCTGCTGATTCCAGTCCACGTTTGCTCAAAGACACTCTTCAATTTTTAATAGCGTCAGTTTACCTTTTAGCAACGAGGAGTGAGCTCTGTCCCAGCAACCTTGGTCCCAACAGAGAACTGATGCTTTAGAACCTTTTGAGCACACCCTGCGTTTTCTCTTCCACAACTTTTTATTTTGCAAATGTTCTTACATTCATGAAAATTGAAAGACTAGTACAATGAACACTTGTATACCCTTTCCTTAGATTCAATAACTAACATTTTGCTAGTTTTTCCAGCAATTCAACAACTAGCATTTTCCCCAGCACATCTTTTTTGTGCCAACTCTTTGTCTCTGCTTCGACAGGCACAGTATTTACTCAGTGCCTGTTGTGTGATAGGCACTGCCCTAAGTGCTGGGGCTGCATCAGTGAACAAGAGGAGCAACATTCCCAATAAATCCCTGTTCTCGTGGACCTTACGTGTGAATGGGGAAGGCAGGCAGTACACAGAATAAATATGTGAATTAGGGAGTGTGTCCAGAGGTGGTGAGTGCTATGGAAGGTCTGGGCAGGTGCCACTGCCGACCACACCTGTCCCCTGGCTCACTGGGTGGCAGGAGACACCAACAGGTCTGCAAGTGCTCTACCTTCCTCTGGATCCTGCAGCTTCATTGATTCCTGGCTGTGTTTAGCCTCTTGAGAAAAGGCTCCCGCTTCTGCAGGCCACCCACATCATCAAGGAAAACAAAGGGTTTCCAGCCCATCCTCGTAGGCTGAAGCTCGTGACACAGGTTCCAGCTTGTTCTTGCTCTCCCCCCTTCACATTTGTCTTCTCCCGCTGCCTGTCCTGCTCCAGCATCAGATGCAAAGACAGCAGCCTGCAGGAATTGCTTATGTCCCCCGGTTGTGTGAGGTCCAATCCCTGTAACAAATTGTATGTATTATGTATATACTGTTTCTCTGATTGATCCCTAATATAGTGTACTTATAAACAACACATACACACGTGGGCACGCACATGCATACTCTCCTCTTTGTTAAAGCAAATGGAGAATTAAACAGTCACCCTTTCTGTTATAGCTAGTTTTTTGTTTACTTTATTATTAACTTTTCTGAGTACACAATGAATTCAAGGCCTTTCCCCAACTCTACTTGATCCAGTTAACTGCCATTATAATTATTAGTTACATTTAAAAATGTCCAGATTGTCCCAGGTGGTCAGAGGGGCCTCAGAGCTTGGCTGACATCCTTGAACCCTGGTTTTGACCACAGGGTGTTCTGGGGCTCCCCTGCTTTTGTGGCTTGTAGGTATGGACTCAGTCCCCTCAAGATCCCTGACTGCTTTTGGTGGAAAAGAATCAGAGGCCAAAGTCTGGGCTTCCAGGGGTACCCCTGAAATTTTTGGAGCTTTTGGGGCATCGTTAGAGTGCCACACTGGAACTTGTCCTTTTGAGGTTGTGTTTACATCAGCTTTTGACCAATTTAACACATTATGTTACTGTCTCAGGATTGGCGTTAACTATGTGCAACAGAAACCTGATTACAGTGGCTTAACCAAAGAAGTGTTTTTTCCCCTAGGAACAGGCAGTCCAGAAGTAGACTGTCTAGGCCCCACAATGCCACCAGGCCTCTAGGTTCCCCCTTTATTTCCCATTGGCCATCTGTCTTGACATAAGTACAGCCATGTTTGGCTGTTCCATTGACCTATAGCCACCAGCACACACAGAAATATAAAGCTGCTTCCTTTCTTTTTTTTTTTTGTGAGGAAGATCAGCACTGAGCTAACATCCATGCGAATCCTCCTCTTTTTGCTGAGGAAGACCGGCTCTGAGCTAACATCTATTGCCAATCCTCCTCCTCCCCCACCCCCAAAGTCCCAGTAGATAGTTGTACGTCACAGTTGCACATCCTTCTAGTTGCTGTATGTGGGACGCGGCCTCAGCATGGCCGGAGAAGCGGTGCTTTGGTGCGCGCCCGGGATCGGAACCCAAGCCGCCAGTAGCAGAGCGTGAGCACTTAACCGCTAAGCCACAGGGCTGGCCCCTAAAGCTGCTTTCTGTCTGGTCGGAACTGGCCTTTCTCCCACGGAGAGAGTTGCAAGTTGTAACATTTCAAGGCTCTTTGGGCGTCTAGCACGGGTCGCACTGGCCATCTGTGCCGGGCTGGGACGATAACCAGAGAGAACAATGCATGTACACAACTACTGGGCTGGGACGATAGCCAAGGGGCTCAGTGCACGTATGCCACTGATAACCATTTGTGCATGGGAACACTAAATGCTTGCTCTGCAAACTCTGTAACTGCTTACTCTGGAAATTACTGATGTTATAAAAACTGCTGGAAACTGAGGCCTGGGGAGAGTTCCACCTGTGGTAGGGATGCCTTGCCCAGGACTTGTGATCCCTGCCCAGCCGAGTCGATTGACAGGACTCTCCCGGCAGTGGGGCGTGGATGTTGTGAGTAATTGATTTGTTGTAAGTAATTGATTTATTGTGAAGTAATTGATCTGATGTGTTTTCGGTCAACCTGGTGTTTCTCTTTCTGGTTGATTTGTGTCATTTCTCTTCAGTCGATGTGGGTGTTTTCCCTTTCCAGTGGAGCTGATGTTTTTCCCTCTTAATATTTGACCTATTCGGATCTGTTTGCAGACTATCGCCTTTACTATCTTCTATATAATAAAATATACCTTCAGTCCATTTGTTTGGAGTGGAAAGTTTCTTTTACGTCTCCAATCAAATCCCCGAACCTCTCATAACACCGTCTTAACATGTGGCTTTCATTGTCATTTTCTCTTTTGTTGCCTCATGGTTGCAAGAAAGCTGCTCCATCTCTAGCATCACACCCACATTCCAAGCAGAATGGGAAAAAGCAAAAGACAAAAGCAAATACTTGGTCAGTCAACCCCATTGTAAAGAGTTTTTTCAGAACTGCACTCAGTGACTTATAGTTCCTTGGCCTGAAGTGTGTTATAGAACCAGCTCTAGCTCTATGGGGGCTTGGGAAATGTAGCTTTTCAGCTGGGAACAGTACCATGCTGAATAAATAAATAGAGCTCTATCAGTGAGGAAGAAGTGGGAAATGGATGTTTGATAGGCAGCCAGTTGTGTTGGCTGTGTCCTGTCCCACAGTTCTCAACGTGTGTGTTTTCAATTCCCACTGAAGCTTTCATCGACATCTGTGGGTCTGACGTGTGTGGAGAGCCTCTCGCACAGCTGTTCTTTCTTTCTTATCATGTAAGCCACACTGGAGAAGTCCTATATCAAATACCGAAGGATAAATTTTACCACATAAAAAAAAAATCCAACATAAGCAAGGTCAAAAAAGACAACCCTCAAATTGGGAAAAATATTTGCAACTCATATTACAGCAAAAGGGCAAATTTTCTTAAAATATAGAGTTTCTACTAATCATTAAGAAAGTCTAGGCAAATAGTATGAACCACCACAGAAAAGGAAATACAAATGACTCTTAAAACATCACTCATAATAAGAGAAATGCAAATTAAATCTCTCCTCAGCACCTTTCCCATGTATGCCTCTGGACAGTGAGTGCTATAGGGATTCTGCCCATTTTGTTCTCGGTGTGTCCCAAGCACAGAGAAGAGGGCTTGGTATACGGTGGTGCACACATGCGCGTGTGTGAGTGGAGGGACGAATGACGTTGATAAATGGATGCCTTCACACATTGCCACAGGGACTGCAAATCTGGATGACTTCCAGGGACTCCAATCCAGCAATATCCATCTGCATGCCTCTTCACCCAGCAATTCGTCTTCTGGGAGCTGACCGCACAGGTCTGACCGCCTGTGGGAAATGGCTTCTGTGCAACTCCACTGGTCCTTTGCTGGACGTCAGGAGGATGTGAGGAGACACTGTTGTCCTACTCCCCCGTCTTCCAGTCTATTGATTTCCTTTATCTGCTCAGCACACCTACTCGCAGGTCCTGCCCTAGGAATAGCAAAGCGGCAAGCCCCTTTCTGTGGAGCTCACGTCCTGGTGGAGAAATACCATGAACATGCAAATAAGATGACTGCAGGCAGCCAGTGTGCTGGGATGTGAAGAAAAATGGAGCAGGCCAGGGGGACAGAGAGCCCATCCACAGGGATCTACTTTCCCCCCTGCTCTTTCTATTTTCTTTTTTGTTTCTTATTATGGAAAATTTCAAAGATATACAAAGGTAGAGAAAGTAGTATAAAGAAACTCACGTGCCCGTGAAACAAGTGAAACAATTAATGACCCATAGCCAATCTCTCTTCAGCTATTTCCCTATCCAGTTACCTCCTTCCCCAATCCCATACAGGAGGTCGTTTTGTTTAATAATTATTTCCATATCTGTCTCTAAAAGATAAGGGCCCTTAAAAAAGGTAATTACAAAACCATTATCACACCTAAATATTAACGATTATCCCTTGTTATCATCAAATATCCGATCAGTCTTCAGAGTCTCCCATTTGTCTCATACATTATTATTATCTTTTCACAACTGGTTTGTGTAAATCAGGATTCAAATCAGGTACGCACAATGCATTTGGTTCATAGGCTCTTAAATCTCTTAATCTGTAGCCCTCTCCCACTTCTTTTTTTTCCTCTTTGAAAATTATTTATTGAAGTCAGATCATGCATCCTGTGGTTTCTCATATTTGGGATTTTGCCGTTTACATTCTGTGGTGCCCGTCTAGCCCTAGAAGTTCCTGCAAACTTAGAGATAGAAGCAAATGAGGTTGAGGTGGGGCCAAGAATACTTCCTAAGTGGGCACTGTGACAGCCCCTTGACAGCCATTGCCTGCGTGCAGTTCACTAGGAGTTTGCAAGATGGTGACATCATGGTATTGGTGTCCCTTCTGTATTTGTGAGAACATTCTATGAAGACAAACTTCCCCCTATCAGTTGTTTGGTTGCTCTGAAGTAGGTCCATACAGAAAAGTTATATGCTTAATTATTGTCTTTATTCACTAGCTTTCAGAATAATGAATTGGTTTTCTAGCATTTTCCAGAGGTGACCAGTTAGGTACTTTTGTTTTTTTTCTATTGTCATCTGAATTCAAAGATTTAAATATATTTGATGCGTTTTTTTATTAAGATTTTATTATTTATTTTATTTTTTCCCCCCAAAGCCCCAGTAGATAGTTGTGTGTCATAGCTGCACATCCTTCTAGTTGCTGTATGTGGGACTCGGCCTCAGGATGGACAGAGAAGTGGTGCCTTGATGTGCACCCGGGATCCGAACCCGGGCCACCAGTATTGCAGCGCGCGCACTTAACCACCAAGCCACAGGGCCGGCCATTTGATGTGTTTTAATCCATTACAGTTTTTAAAATTAATACTCATATTATCCCATCTTCAGCCAGCAGGAGCCTCTTCAAGTTCTCCCTGAGGCTTTTTTTTTTTTTGGTGAGGAAGACTGTCCCTGAGCTAACATCTGTGCGAATCCTCCTCTATTTTGTATGTGGGACACCACCACAGCATGGCTTGATGAGCAGTGTGTAGGTCTGTGTTAAGACCTTCGGGGATTCGATCGGAGACGTAAAAGACACTTTCCACTCCAAACAAATGGACCGAAGGTATATTTTATTATATAGAGGATAGTAAAGGCAACAGTCTGCAAACAGATCCAAATAGGTCAAATATTAAGAGGGAAAAAAAACATCAGCCCGACTGGAAAGGGAAAACACCCACATCAGCTGAAGAGAAATGACACAAATCAACCGGAAAGAGAAACACCAGGTTGACCGAAAAGAGAACATATCAAATCAATTACTTCACATCAAATCAGTTACTCACAACATCCACGCCCCACTGCTGGGAGAGCCCTGTCAATCGACGCGGCTGGGCAAGGATCACACGTCCTGGGCAAGGTGTCCCTTCCACAGGTGGAACTCTCTCTAGGTGGAACTCTCTCTCTAGGGCTCAGTTTCCAGCAGTTTTTATACCATCAGTGATTTTTAGAGTAAGCAATTACAGAGTTTGCAGAGCAAGCATTTAGTGTTCCCATGCACAAAATGGTTATCAGTGGCGTACGTGCACTGAGCCCCCTGGCTAACATCCCAGCCCAGTAGTTGCGTACGTGCATTGTTCTCTTTGGTTATCATCTTAGCCCGGCACAGATGGCCAGTCCATTCCGGGCCACGACGCTCCAAGAGCCTTGAAATGTTACAACTTGCAACTCTCTCCGTGGGAGAAAGGCCAGTTCCCGGGAAAAGGCCAGTTCCCACCACACAGAAAGCAGCTTTGTATTTCTTTTTTGTGCTGGTGGCTGTAGGTCAATGGAGCGGCCAAACATGGCTGTACTCATGTCAAGACAGTCTGCGCCTGGGATCTGAACCCATGAACCCTGGGCTGCTGAAGCAGAGTGCGCAAACTTGACCACTATGCCATCGGGCTGGCCCTGCCCTAATTCTTTTTGACACAAGCCTTGTATCATTGACAGGTTCTTTGATTTCTGATGTGACAAGATGTCCCAGGCTCATCCTCCATAATCCCTGAATCCTTAGACCTGGAATCAGCATATTTTTTTCAAGGAGCTCTGTGCCATCTTGGTGGGAAATGGCATTTGGAGTACCCAACTGGGGCTCTGGGAGTGCCTGTTGCTACTAGGTTGGTCATTACTTCTAGATCTTTTCAGAGGACAAAGCTAGGAAACATTTTTTTTTTAATGCAAAAAAAAATCGTGAGTTCACACATATTTCAAATACAAACTTAGGGCTAGGTGGTTACTAACTTCTTTGATTTTATATTTGTATCTCTTTTTCTCTTATATAGGCACAGTTTATTGTGCTCTGCTTTACTGCACTTGCAGATACTGCATTTTTTACAAATTGAAGCTTTGTGGCAACCCTGCATTGAACAGGTCTATCAGCGCCATTTTTCCAGCACCATTTGCTCACTTTGTGTGTCTGTGTCACATTTTGGCAATTCTCGCAATATTTCAAACTTTTTCATTATTATTATATTTGTTATGGTGATCTGTGATCAATGGTCTTTGATGCTGCTATTGTACTTGTTTTGGAGGGGTGCCACGAACCACATCCATATGAGATGGCAAACGTGACTGATAAATATGTGTTCTGACTACTCCACTGACCAGCAATTCCCCCATCTCTCTTCCTCTCCTCATGCCTCCCTATTCCTTGAGATTCAACTATATTGAAATTACACCAGTTAATAACCCTACCATAACCTCTAAGTGTTCAAGAGAAAGGAAGAGCCGCACGTCTCTCACTTTAAATCAAAAGCTAGAAACAGTTAAGCTAGTGAGGAAGACACGCCAAAAGCCACGACAGGCCGAAAGCTGGGCCTCTGGTCCCAACCAGTGAGCCAAGTGGTGAAGGCAAAGGAAAAGTTCTTGAAGGAAATTAAAAGTGCTGCTCCAGTGAACACACGAGTGACAAGAAAGCAAAACAGACTTATTGCTGATAGGGAGAGAGTCTGAGTGGTCTGGATGGAAGATCAAACCAGCCACAACATTCCTTTAAGCCAAAGCCTAATCCAGAGCAAGGCCTCAACTCTCTCCAATTCTGTAAAGGCTGAGAGAGGGGAGGAAGCTGCAGAAGAAAAGTTCGAAGCTAACAGGGCTTGGTTCATGAGGTTTAAGGAAAGAAGCCGTCTCCATAACATCCAAGTGCAAGGCGAAGCAGCAAGTGCTGATGTGGAAGCTATAGCTTCCAGAAGATCTAGCTAAGACAATTAATGAAGGTGACTACACTAAACAGATTTTCAATGTAGATGAAACAGCCTTCTGTCCAAAGAAGATGCCATCTAGGACTTGCACAGGTAGAGAGAAGAAAAGTCAATGCCTGGCTTCAAAGCTTCAAAAGACAGGCTGACTCTCATGTTAGGGGCTAATGCAGCCGGTGACTTTAAGTTGAAGCCAGTGCTCCTTTACCATTCCAAAAATCCTAGGGCTCTTAAGAATTAGGCTAAATCTACTCTGCCTGTGCTCTATAACTGGCACAACGAAGCCTGGATGACAGCACATCTGTTTACAACATGGTTTACTGCCCATTGTTGAGACCTACTGCTCAGAAAAATATTCCTTTCAAAATATTGCGGCTCATTGACCATGTACCTGGTCACCCAAGAGCTTTGATGGAGGTGTACAACAAGATTAATGTTGTTTTCATGCATGCTAACAAAACATCCATTCTGCAGCCCATGGATCAAGGAGTAATTTAGACTTTCAAGTCTTATTATTTAAGAAATATATTTCGTAAGGACTTAGCTGCCATAGATAGTGATTCCTCTGATGGATCTGGGTGAAGTAAATTGAAAACCTTCTGGAAAGGACTCACCATTCTAGATGCCATTATGAACATTTGTGATTCGTGGGAAAAGGTCAGAAGATCAACATTAATAGGAGTTTGGAAGAAGTTGATTACAACCCTCATGGATGACTTTGAGGGATTCAAGAATTCAGTGGAGGAAGGATCTGCAGAGGTGGTGGAAATAGGATGAGAACTAAAATTAGACATGGAGCCTGAAGAGGTGACTGAATTGCTGCAATCTCATGATAAAACTTTAACGGATGAGGAGTTGCTTCTTATGGATGAGCAAAGAAAGTGGGTTCTTGAGATGGAATCTACTCCTGGTGAAGATGCTGTGAAGATTGTTGACATGACAACAAAGGATTTAGAATATCACATAAACTTAGTTGATAAAGCAGCGGCAGGGTTTGAGAGGATTGGCTCCACTTTTTTTTTTTTTTTTGCTGGGAAAGATTCACCCTAAGCTAACATCTGTTGCCAAGCTTCCTCTTTTTTTATTTTTTTTTATGTGAGCTGCTGCCATAGCATGGCCAGTACAGACAAGTGGTGTGGTTCCACTCCCAGGAACTGAACCCCGGGCCGCTGAAGCGGAGCATGCTGAACTTTAACCACTAGGCCATCGGGGCTGGCCCTGACTCCACTTTTGAAAGTTCTACAGTGGGTAAAATACTACCCAACAACGTCACACACTACAGAGAAATCATTCATGAAAGGAGGAGTCAGTCGATGTGGCAAACTTCAATGCTGTCTTACTTTAAGAAATTGCCACAGACAGCCCAACCTTCAGCATCACCACCCCGATCAGCCAGCAGCCATCAATACTGAGGCAAGACCCTCCACCTGCAAAAAGATTACAACTCACTGAAGCCTCAGATGGTGGTTAACATTTTTTAGCAATAAAATTTTTTCTTTAATTAGCCAGCACAAGTGGTCTAGTGGTTAAGATTTGGCACTCTCACTGCCACGGCCTGGGGTTCATTTCCTGGCCAGGGAACCACACCACCTGTCTCTTGGTTGTCACACTGTGGCGGCTGCATGTTGCTGTGATGCTGAAAGCTATGCCACTGGTATTTCAAATACCAGCAGGGTCACCCTTGGTGGACAGGCTTCAGCGGAGCTTCCAGACTAAGACAGACTAGGAAGAAGGACCTGGCCACCCACTTCTGAAAAATTGGCCATGAAAACCCTGTGAATAGCAGTGGAGCATTGTCTGATACAGGCTGGAAGGGGAGAGGATGGGACAAAACCACCAGGCAGGGTTCTGCTCTGCTGTACACAGGGGCGCTAGGAGTCAGAATCGACTCGACAGCGCTAACAACGAATTTTCAAATTAGGGTATATACATTTTTTTTTAGACATAATGCTATTGCACACTTAATAGGCTACAGTATAGTGTAAACATAGCTTTTATATGCACCAGGAAACCAAAAACATCGTGTGACTCAGTTTATTGCGACATTTGCTTTATTGCGGTGGTCTGGAGCCAAACCCACGAGGTCTCCGAGGTGTGTCTATATTAAAAATCTTGGATCGTAATTATCTTATCACAATTACTTACTTTACTATTTATATATAATTGTGTCAGAATAACAGTGCCAATATTATTAACAGTATAATTACTGAAAACAGTCTAAAATTCTTTTGCAGTTGTTCTTGTTGTTAGGATATATTCCATTTGCGATATTACGCTGCTTTAAAGTAAATTGAAATACAGGTTTCCCCACTATCTGAAAGCAGAGTGTTCCTAGAAAACTTTTCGTAACCTGAAATGCTGTAAAGTGAAGAAGCAACTACCATTAATTTGTATGGGAAAAATTTTTGAGTGTTCCGGGACCCAACAAATAACCTACCAAAATGAGTCAAGACGAAGCCTGCAGACGCAGGGCAGGCTGTTGCGGCTGGAGGCTGAGATGCAGAGCGTGGCTCCCAGGAGGAGGAGGCGGCGCCACTCCCGCTGCCGCTGGGCATGCGCGCTGCCTCGGTAACAGCTCGTTGCACAAGTGCTGAACGCTGTTTTTGCTTTTCGCCTTTTTTCATAAGAGCAAAAATCCTCTTTGGGTTTCTTTCAGTTAGGGAAAACAGGTGCTAATGCAGGTGTTTCGGAAAAGCTAAAGCATAAAGCGAACTTTCGGATAGCGAGGAAAAGCTGTAGTTTGTTTCTGTGGGGTTAAGACTAACTTTATATATTGGCTCATTTGTTTCATTTTGCTTTTGCTTTTTAGGGTTACGTTTTTCAAATTTTCATATAATTTTGTTTTATGATCTTGTAAAACATTTATATGGTTCCAAAGTCAAGTCTACAAAATAAAGTACATTCAGAGAAGTGTGGCTTCTCTCCCAGTCCCCACCAACTTGTTACCTCCCTCTCCCTGTTGGTAACCATTTATTAACGCTGTGGTTTGTCTTTCCATTTTTAAAAACCTGAGTCAGCTTCGATGAAGAGTAGAAATCTGTACCTACTGTTCTGCGATTTGGCTTTTGTCACTTAACAAAAGTGAGTACCCTGAGATCTCTCGTTGGCAGCATCTAGGGATATTCTTACCACAGCTGCATACTCCTCTCTTGCGTGAATGTGCCATAGTGTATTTAACTAGTCTGCTATTACTGGACATTTGGGTTGTTTCTTGTCTTTTGCTATTAAAATTAGTGCTGTGATGAATAGTTTTATGTGAGTCTTTTCATAGTTTTGCCAGTTTAATTTTGGGATAGATTCCTAGAAATTGCTTGGTTAATGGGCATGTGTAATGCGTTTTTGCTGTGTGTTGCCCAGTTCCCCCCCACAGGGTTGTACCATCTTGCATTCCCACAAGATGTGGGTGTGGTGTTTCCTCACAGCCTGTGAACCAAGCATGTTGTCAAGTATTTGGAATTTTGCCAATGTCAGGAGTAACAAATGGCATCTCAATGTGGTTTCCCTTTGCATCTTTCCTGTGGGGACGTTGAGCATCTTTTCATATGTTTAAGGGCCATTTTCTCTTATTTGTCCATGAACTTGCTCATTTTCCTACATGGTTGTTGGCCTCTTCCCTGTGTTTGTGTGTGTGTGTGTGTGTGTGTGTGTGTGTGTGTGTGTGTGAGGAAGATCAGCCCCGAGCTAACATTCGATGCCAATCCTCCTCTTTTTTTCTGAGGAAGATTGGCTCTGGGCTAACATACATGCCCATCTTCCTCTACTTTATGTGGGACGCCGCCACAGCATGGCTTGATGACATGATGAGCGGTGCGTCAGTGCATGCCTGGGATCTGAACCTGCAATCTGAACCTGCGAACCCTGGCGGCCAAAGCAGAGCGAGCACACTTAACCGCTGTGCCACGGGGCCGGCCCCGTTCCCTGTGGTTTTAGAAGTGCTATTACGTTAACCCTTTGTGATGTAAGTTGCAGATGTTTTAAAAACTCTATATTTAATGCACCAATTTATCAATTGTTTAAGATTAAAATTTGTAAAAAAAAACCCTTATAGTCTTTTTTGATGTAACCTGACAAGTTACAATAAACAATCAATTTGATACCAGAGAGATGGTTATAAAGAGTAGACTTCAAAATCAATTTTAACATATATCCTTTTAACCTGACTTCATTAACTATCATGATTCACTTCATCCTCAACCTCATTAATATGCACAACTGAGGATACTTAGAAATAGCCTGTTCAGAGAAGACAAATGGAAATTCCTTAGGGGGAAATGCACTATAAGGCTGATAATACATTGATTGTTAAAAATATTTGACTGCTATGCTTTTTTTATGGCTTTATTGAAGTATAAATTACACATATTTTAAGTGTACAATTTGATGAAAATTTTGACATAAATATATGCCTGTGAAACCATCACCACAATCAAGACAATGAACATACCCATCAGCCCTAAAAGTGTCCCCCCGTCACTAGCAACTGATCTGCTTTCTGTCACTATAGCACAGTTTGCATTTTCTACAATCTTTTTTTAAAATTTTATTTATTTATTTACTTTTCCCCCAAAGCCCCAGTAGATAGTTGTATGTCATAGCTGCACATCCTTCTAGCTGCTGTATGTGGGACGTGGCCTCAGCATGGCCGGAGAGGCGGTGCGTCGGCGCGCGCCCGCGATCCGAACCAGGGCCACCAGTAGCGGAGCGCGCGCACTTAACCGCTAAGCCATGGGGCCGGCCCTCTATAATCTTATATAAATGGAATCTTAGAGTAGCTATTATTTTGGGGGTGGGTGAGTCTGGGTTCTTTCCCTCTGCATAATTATTTTGAGATTTATCCATATTGCTGCAGGTATCAATAGTTTGTTCCTTTTGATTGTTGGGAAGTATTCCATTGTAAGAATATACCACAATCTGTTTATCCACTTACCTGTTAATAGACATCGGCATGTTTCCAGTTTTTGGCTATTGCAACTAAAACTGCTACAAACATTTGTATATAAGTCTTTGTGTGGATGTGTTTTTGTTTCTCTTACGTAAATACCTAGAATGGCATCGCTGAGTGGTATAGTAGATGTATATTTAACTTTCTAAGAAACTGCCAACCTCTTTCCCAGGTGTTTTTACCACTTTACCTTCCCCAGCAGATGTGACATGTGCTCCACATACCGCCCACGCTTGGTACAGTCAGTCATTTCAAAAATTAGCCATTCTGGTGGCATACAGTGGTGTCTCCTTGTGGTTTTAATTCACATTTCTCTAATGCTTAATGACGTTGAGTATCTTTTCTTGTGCTCCTTTGCCGTCTGTGTTCTCTGGCAAAGTGTCTAGTGAAGTCTGCCTGTGTTTTATTGGGTCATTTGTCTTCTTCTAATTGAGTTGTAGGACTTCTTTATAGGATGGGATACAAGTCCTTTGCTGGATATATGTTTTGCAAATATTTTCTCCCAGTTTGTGCTTTGCCCTTTCATTTCATTTCATTTTGAGGAGCAAAAGTTTTAAATTTTCATGAAGTCCTGTTCACTTGTGTCCTTCCTTGAAAGTTATGCTTTTTGTGTCCTATTTAATACATCTTTGCCAAAGTCAAGGTCACTAAGGTTTTCTCCTATGTTTTCTTCTAGAAGTTTCCACTTTACAATTTGGTTGATGATACATTTTGAGTTAATTTTTATATGTGGTGTGGGGTAAGGGTTGAGGTTCATTTTGTTGGTATATGGTTATTCAAAAGTTCCAGCACCATTTGTTGAAAATGAAACTCTAAGTTTTACATAATCTTTTATATATTAATTTATACATGCTATATGTAATATAAGGTGTAAATATTTCCCCCAGTTTGTCACGTGTCTTTTTACTTTGACTATGTTTTTGGTCCTGCAAAAATTTATTTCTTTGTAGTCAAATTTATCAATGTTTTCCCTTACTGTGTCTTGATGTTGAGTCATAGTAAAATTTCCCTAACGTCCAGGTTCTAGAAGAATTCATCTAGGCTTTCATCTAGTACTTGTTTGGTTTTGTTTCTTTACATTTAAATCTCTGTTCCATTTCGAATTTATTCTGCTATATGATGTGAAGAATGGATCTAATTTTATCTTTTTTCCAAATGGCTATCTGGTTATCCCAATACTACATATTATGAAGTTTATCCTTTGCCCACAGATTTGAGATGACACCTTTCTTATATCAAACTTCCAGATGGGCGTGGTCTCACCAGTAAACGCTCTGACATTTGGAAAGGCCCAGACCCTAGCCCGTGGATGCAGAAGACGACCTTGCAGGTAGAATAAGCCACATGTGGGAGCTGGGAGCCAGGCTGCCCCCATGCCTTTGTGTTACATCCAGGGAAGGTCACTGAGGGTTGTTGGCTCTTGCCTGCCAAGCCCCAGGTGAATGGTCCAGCTGAGATTCTACTGTTGCTTCTGCCACAGCTGCCTGGCGTGGCCTGCACTGTCCTCAGCCATCAGGGCCCTGTTCTCTCAGGCCCTGGAGTTCCCTCCAGATCCATGCAGGCTTTAGGATTGCCATGGATCTGGGCCCCCCTCTCTACACACTGCACTCCAGAGTTTCTCTGCTTCACCTTGTGTTGAGGGGGGCCTGTTGGGGGAGACTCTTCCTTCCTCCATGTCAATCTGACCCCACAAGTTGCAGGACCCACTTGTGGGGCATGAGCTGAGGGAGTCCATGAAGGAGACCTCCCAAAACTCTACAAGCATGTGAAGATCCTGGCACAGTTGACACCAGCCTGCTACCAGCTGTTAGGGCTGCTTTTTTTGTTGTTCTGAAAGGAATTGGTGCTGTTGGTTGGAGGGAGGAGTGTCTGGAAGTGGAAATAAGGAGCAAGGAGAACATCCTCCCAATCTCCAGTTCCAGTGGTACATGGGGGAGGGAGGGCTTCAGGGGATCGAGACAGCCAGGTTTTAGTTAGAAGAAGAAGTCGAGGGAAACTTTCAGAGAAGTCACAATACAGAGGGATTTGTTGATGTTCATAAACCAAAGAGCAGAGCGGAAGGTGGGGCCAAGGAGGGCTTCGATTTTTTTTAAGGTGTGAAAAGGTGTATTAGTTAGATAATGAAGGTTTCTGGGAAGAGTGGAGAAGGCCTCTCAAACAGGTCTGAAATAGCTTGAGAGAGCAAGGAAAGGATACTGGCCTGGTCTTTATTGCGGTCAGTGTGTGGGACGGTAGGAGGGTTCTCAAGCATACGCAAGGTCTTGTGTGGTGTGAATCTCCTGCTGGCAGCAAAGGAGGGAGCACTCAGCTTTCTTATCCACGTGTCCAGAGGTGGGCGTGGAGAACCAGGGGCACGAGGTTTTCTTATCAACGTGTCCAGATGTGGGTGTGGAGAAACAGGGGCACGAGGCTTTCTTATCAACGTGTCCAGATGTGGGCGTGGAGAAACAGGGGCACGAGGCTTTCTTATCAACGTGTCCAGATGTGGGCGTGGAGAAACAGGGGCACGAGGCTTTCTTATCAACTTGTCCGGATGTCTGCGTGGAGAAACAGGAGCATGAGGCTTCAGCGCTGTCAGTGAAGATCAAAACATGGAGCCGGACCACCCATTGCACCCCTGATGTTTTGTGGCTGAAACTCACCGTGTTTCATTTAATTGAATTAGAGCTTGTTTAAATAAACCTTATGGTACTCTCTGCAGCTGGTAAAGGAGGTGAAAATCCCACTGTATGCCTTCTTCAAGAGCCCGGCGTTGTGTCTTCTGAGAAGTGACATGAGTGCCTCGGCCCCTGTCAGTGAAGTCTGGAGCTCCAGAGGGGATGAGGCCTCGTACTGTGCCTGAGTATAGGCAGAGCCCTGTGACCTTGATTGGTATTTTGCGGCATCTGTGAAGAGAGAGATTCCTGGAGTTCTTTACCCTAAAGGGGGCAACTCTTAGGCAGTGACACCAGAGTTTGTAAAAATGTGCAGATGGCGCCACTGGTTAGCCAGGCCATCCAGTGTTAAGATAACTGCCTGAAGTTTGGCCAATTGTGCCGACCCTCAGGGATATCCCAGTTAAGAAATGAGCAGCAGCTCCCCACTGAGCTCCACACCTATGATGGCTGGCAGTGCTGTTCATATAGTTATGAACTCCCACTGCTATTCACTCAGTTCATTCCAAGGGGCTCCCCAGGTAGCCAAAGTGTCTAGGGAGGGCTGACTCCAGCACCCTGGCATCTGGCAAGGGACTGAGGACAGGTGAGGCCACCCCTCCTGCAGGTGGAATATGCCAGAGGACCCAGGTTTGGCCCCATTCTGTACCAAGGTGGCCTCATCAGCATGGCTGAGCTTGTGGGGTGCTGCTTCCATGACCCAGAGCAGAATGGGCAGCTGGGTACAGAGGGTCACAGGCTTAGGGCCTGTGAGAGCCTCCATTTCCAGGAGGGTCCAATATGTGGTGAGCAATTGCAGCTCTAATGGCATATAGTATGGGGGCAAGGAGGGCAGTTTCTTGCATCAGAAGCCCTTGGAGGGCCGACCCCGTGGCTTAGTGGTTAAGTGAGCGAGCTCCGCTGCTGGCGGCCCGGGGTTCGGATCCCGGGCTCGGATCCCGGGTGTGCACCGACGCACTGCTTCTCCCGCCATACTGAGGCTGAGTCCCACATACAGCAACTAGAAGAATGTGCAACTATGACATACAACTATCTACTGGAGCTTTGGGGGAAAAAAATAAATAAAAAAAAAAATTAGAAGCCCTTGGAGAACTTATGGCCATGATGGGTGGCCCAGAGACTCCAGAAGGCATGAAAGGAGGTTGCTGAAGCCCCTACCATGGAGGAGTCTCGGTAGGGGGCACTATTGGTGGTGCCTGTGGCATTACAACCTGGACAGATTCTAGAATTGTTTTGTTGGAGGGGGCCCCATTGAAGGTGGGCTGATTTGCAAGTAACAGCATAAATGGGGTTAAGTAAAATTTGTAAATGAGGAATATGTTGCCTCCAGAAACCCCAAAAGACTAAAAGATATTGTGGGTGCTGAGAGGGTCAATGGCTGTTTCTTGACAGTGTCAGGGATGGAGAAGCCCTTGGTTTACCAGTCATTTTCGGTAACTTAACAGAGGTGGCAGGGCCTTGCATTACATTTGGGGCCATGGCCCATTCCCTTTTGGTGTGCTCCTTTGTGTTTGTATGTCCTGATAAGTGAGGAATGAATGAGTGTCAATTGAATCTCCTTGGAGGAAGATGTCATCAATGTAATGTCACACCTGTGCTCCTGGAGCAAGGTGGATGTAGTTAAGATCTTGTCTGCCAAGCCTGTATGTGACAGTAAGGCTGCTGAGGTACCCCATGCGTATCATAGAAAAGGTGTCTTGTGTCCCTTCAGAGATGAAGGCAAACTGTGGCTGAAAGTCTGTTGAAATAGGCACTGAACAGGACATAGTAGCCAAATCTCTAATGGCCAAATACTTAGCAGTTGCTGATTGGATGGAGTCAGTAATTTCAATAATGTTGAGTGTGGTCTTTAAATGTCAGGTATGATGGGTTTCAATCCTTGAATGCCCTATTTTAATTTATATTGGGCTGTATTAACTATTTCAACTGGGGGGGGGTTCATGGGTGTCCCATGTTGTCAAGCCAATTTGTAAGTGGCAAAGACTTAATTAAATTTTAATTGATGGCTTACTGGGTCAGAACGTCCATCCCATTATGGAATACTGTAGGGCAGTGAGTGCTATGATTATGGGGAATTTAGGCAAGGCAATAGTTTTGATGGTTACGGTGAGGCATACTATCTGGCTGCACACTCAGCTGTGTGAGCAGAGTGGGAGAGGTTGCAGAGAGACTGAAGAAAAGACCAGGAGATGGCAGATGAGACAAAGGTTTATTGGGTCTTACTTACAGGGAACGTCCAGGAGCGGCCAGCTGGACAGAGTTGCGCACCTGCACCTGCTACTGTGAACAGGGAGGGGATTGCTTATATAGGTGGAGGGACAAAAGCTATGTGCTTGCCAAGACGGGCTGTCCCTGGTATGGCCAGCATTCCCAGGAACAGTAGCTCATGTGGAGGGGCTCTGTGTTCCTTCAAGATGTGACGTTCCTTGAGATAAGTTTTGACCCGGGTTGGCCAGTCCCGGAATTGTTACAAATCCCAGAAGGTTGATGTCCTGCCCGGGTGGGGGCCAGAAGGACACATGGCTCTTAAAGGACTTGCAGTTTACTGCTGAGCAAGCGTGGCCCTGCACATACCTATTTGTCCTCTATTTTATATTCAGTAATTCTGTTATTATAGGGGTCTGTGTTTAAATTTGGTGAGATACCCAGGCGTAACTGTAATTTGACACTCAGCATCAAGTCCATGAAGGTTTGCCAACTAGTGCATTTCAGCAGATGTAAATTCAGAACCCATGCTGTAGACACAAAAGACTTTTATCTTTTTGTCATATATTTTAGTAAATCCTGAATTCCCAGTTGGGTCAAACTGTGGACCTCTTTTTTTTTTTTTTTTTTT